GTGTCTCTCTCTGTGTCTCTGTCTGTCTGTCTGTCTCTCTCTCTCTCTCTCTCTCCCGAGCCCTTGACATCTGTGCAGGTTTAGGCCAATTACACTCATATAATAGACAATCTACTTCTGGAATGAAGAGGAATAGAGCTACCATTAATATATGTGATAATAAATTTCCCCTATTCTATAATCAATAGGTTTATGATTAGAGTAAGATAAGGAAATAAAGCAGTAGGTGAACCTTGAAATATTGGAATGAATAGTGGAAGTCCATGTTCCTGAGCTTCTCGGTGTTAGGTTTCAATATAGGTGTACTAGATTTAGAAGTTTATTTTTAACTTTTTAAAAAAATATTCCCTTAATGAACAGACAGTGTCTGCCATGGAGGAGATGGATGACTGCAAGTGTTGTGCAAGAGATAAAACCCATAGAGCCAGCCTCTTTCTCCTCACATTCCTTACAATGTTTGCATCCCAGGGACAAATGATTGCCCAAAAGATATGAAAGAAATCTTCTGCAGTCACAACTAACAATTTCAATAAGCCTTCCAGCCTCAAATGCTGAGCATATAATCAACTCTTTAGTTGAGTAATCTCTGGCTCTTCCCTCCATGTGAGTAAGGTTTTCTAGCATAAGGAACCAGCTCTCTTTTCTTCCCAGCCAGGCACCATAGGACAGTGTTTCTCAACCTTGACAATTTTAAGGCATGTGGACTTCAACTCCCAGAATTCCACAGCCAGCAATGCTGGCTGTGGAATTCTGGGAGTTGAAGTCCACATGCCTTAAAATTGTCAAGGTTGAGAAACACTACCATAGAAGGATGGGAGAGTTGGTTTATGCAGGCCTGGTAAGGATAATCAAGCTGGTGCTTTCTCTGCATGCTTCTCTTTGTCCTGTTCTGGCATCTACTGTCTCCCTCAACCTTCACCTCAACTTTCCTCCCTCCCCCAGCTGCTCTTTCTTCAGATCAGCACTGAGTCTGCAGACATTCAAAATCTGATGCTGTGGCTTACTCACAAGGATGCTGGTGTTTTCCCTTCAGCACAACTCCTTCAAAAACGTCTGCCTTAAACACTCTGTCCTGAGACACACACACACCTCACACACTTAAACCAATTCTGAAGATATAATACTTTGCATCAATATGAAAGTATTGTATAGTATACTATGAAAGTATAGTATTAAACAAGGAAAACTGTTATACACTGAGCAAAATAGTTATTACTGGCTATTCTTTTACAAACTAGCATCAAATAGCAAAGGGAAAGGAAGACTTAGCGTCGTAAGTCAAATTCAGATTTGTAGTTGCTTCAATTCTGTACTGTCTTAGTCAACCTTGCAGTTTTTAAAGATGAAAACCTCAGTGAGAGCTATAACTTTTAAATCCTTAAGTTCAGAAACTTCATATCAAAATAAGTTGCTCAATTTTTTCCCCATTTTGGTGTCACTTTCCAGACCTACCATAATATGTCTGTTCTCCTATTCTTTTTGCAGTCTCTCTTATGCAGTCCATCCTTCAAAATATCCTCCATTCTCCCATTTGTGAAGAATATTCCAGAAGATTCTATTTCTGGTCTGAGCATACATGTTCTTTGTGATACATGTTTAGGACAGCATGAAGCAGCTATTGACAAACTTCTGGATAGGTGCCCTGAAGCTGTCATACCTTATGCCCAGCATGAGCTGAGGGATGAACATCAGGTGAGCGTTAATAATCATAGTTATCTGTCATTTTTTTCCCTGTCCTCCTAAAATCCAAACCATTGCAGTTTCACAGGAACATTTTAGTACATCAGTTCCTCATATGTAATTTTATTGTACCATATCTAGTCAATAGTTTTAAAACTGAACAAAGTAACCCCATTATATTGAATGTGGGAAATGCGTAACTTCTATTTTGTTAAAATGGTGAAATGGTGCAAAATTTTGAAGATTATAAAGTATTCTTTATTGTTTCCTCAATGTAGTTTCCCCAGCCTGGCATTTGCTTGCCTTATCATATCTCATACTGTAAAGTATGTCTTTGATACTTGCTGGCTGAATAAATTGTGCAGGAGTTTCTTAATAATAACCACATACGTAGGTTATGCTGTCAATAGATCATAGATGTGTTTGGAAGTATATTGGGTTACTAATCCTGTGTATGCATTTTAAGAATCAGCTGGAAGCCCTGTATGTTCTAATCTTGCCCAACCTCAGTTGTTTTGAGTCCATGCTTCTTAAATTTTCTAACCAGTAAAACCAGCAGACTCTCAGATTGAAAAAGGCTAGTCTAGGCAATGCTCACTGACATTTGTAGTTCTAAAATGAAAATGGAGCAATATAATTATGAGGGGTCCTTGGTGCTCTCTGAGCTTGCCTGTTTTCTTGCAGATGTTTCATTACCCAAACATCATCAGTGCTAGTCATTGTATTTATTCCATTTAGACAAACAGTGTCTTTTCAGAACCTCAGAATAACTACCTGAGGTTCTGAATTACTCCAATAATTTAGGTAGGAGACAAGATGATAAATAATATTCACAAGTTATCGCAGGCCGTTGAATGTCACTGTCCTTCCCCAATGCTCTTTGGCACTTTGAATGGCACTAGAGGGAGCTCGCATCCCACTTCATTGGTTGATAGATCTTGAACCTCTCCTGAATGAATCACATCTTAAACACAGGAGCAGCAAGTCTGGCATATTTAAAGGTTTGCTATTTAACACGCTCACTGCCATGCTTTTATGAGTAAATATAAGCAGAAGAAGAAGAAAAGTTGGATTTCTTCAAGAATAACACTCTTGATTTTCTATCTGGATCTTATTTTCTGACTGGCTTTAGGCTTTGTGGTGGAACAAACTTCTTCCTGAACTCTGTAAACGAACCAGACATGTTGGTGAAAACTACCCTGTATTTCTGTCATCACTGCAAGGTAAAAAAAAAGAGTTTTTATAGCACAGAGCTTTTGCGGTACATAGAATAGCCTTTCGCTCTCAAGAGGATGTTGTGGAGTGTTTACACTTCAGTGTCTAAATTGAAGAACTGGATTCAATGCAAATCACACATTTTTGTTAGATGCAGACCACAAGTAACAATCTTCAAGGAGCAACGTTTGCTCATTTATTTATTTATTAAATTTTTACGCTACCCATCTTAATCCACGTTAAAAGTTGGTGGAGATATGGGCAGTACTCAACTTATGAACACAATGGGAATCAGAATTTCTGTTGGTAAGCAAGGCAGTTGTTAAGTGAGTTGCACCCAATTTTGCTACCTTTTTTTGCCACGAATGTTAAGCAAATCAGTACAGTTGCTAAGTGAATCAGGCAGTTGTTAAGCGAATCCGGTTTCCTGCCCTCATTCAGAAGGTGGCTGGGAAGGTTACAAATGGCAATCAGGACTTTGTAAATACATACTGGTTGCCAAGCTCTCAAATTTTAATCACTTGACCGATGCTATGGCAGTTGTAAGTGCAAAGATCAGTTGTAAATCACTTTTTTCCCAGTGCTGTTGTAACTTTGAATGATTACTAAATGAAAGAACTAGCTTTACTCAGGGGTATTAAACACAATGTTTGTGTCCTTTTTATCCAGAAACATTGTCAGTCATTGCCACGGCACTGGAATTGAGAGACTTCCTTAATGTTTTACCTGAAGATGGGAATGCAGCATTCTTCTTGCCCCACTTGCTTCAGTGCAGCAGAAGATTGGTGACTTAATCATAAGGAGAAGCATCAGCCATTTTGGATTGTTCTTATGGGGTGCAAAGTACTCAAATGAACAAAACTTCGTGATGCAACTATTAACTTAAAACTTTAAATGCTGGATACCCCAGGCATAGTCTCATGTATATGGGAAGAGTAGGGCTTGATGGATCTCCAAAGATTGTCATCTGATGTGTGGTAGCAGTATAGTACAGGTAAACTGGTGATTCTCAGCCTTGGCAGCATGGTCTGGACTTCAACTCCCAGAGCTCAGAAATACTGAGCTAAACACATAGAGATGTTGGTAATATGCACCCTCATCCCTCGCCTCTTCTATATTAAACTTTGAAGCTTCCCCAAAAGCACTGCAAAAAAGCGGCAACGACTCTAGATTATTTTGGTGAGAGACAAAATAGAATAGGTGCATTAAGCCTATATAAAAGTAAATCTTGTCCCTCAAACAAGTGATAACTGAGCCAAATCTTTCTTCCATATTCTCCCCCTATCATAACACCTTTGATAAGGGTCATTATCTTATCCTTGCTGCTTGGGATAGGTTTTAGAAAAGTTTCACCACTCTAAGCTGCTGGTGGTGCATGTGAGCTGACTAGAAATCACATAAAGTTGTGAAGGGGCCTTTCTAAATAAATATTTAGTGCGATTGTCATTCAGGGCTTTTTCCTAAACATCAGTCATATGTGTAATGTTTAACTTGTTCAGTAGGAATATTTGTTTCTCGTGGCTGCTAGGACAGAGAAAAGAACAATTTCACAAGAATTCTAAGTAGAGCCAAAAGTTTCAGCAGATTGGCTCCCGTGCAGACTATTTGTGTTGCAAACAATGAGTTTCTTCAAGTTTTCTAAAAGTGAATTAGATTAGAAACCAGATTATGGAGGCAATTTATAAAGTTGGCCTAGCAAGTATCACAAAGTCCCAACTTTAACAATGACAAAGGTTGTTACTTTATCTGCCTTTAATTTTTCCCATCTCTGCAGTTGTAATATGAGTCAGACGTCATTTTGTCATATTCATATTAACTTTTGAAGAATCTTCAAAACTAGTTTATTTTGAAAGAAGACACTTAAAAAACAGAAAAGTTGTGAAATTAGAAATAGAAAATAATGTTCTATCGATCATAACTAAGATAGACTTCCATGCAAAAGCATTCCTCTAGTTTTATTTTAATTATGTTCAGTAGGGATTTTTAAAAAAATATCTGTCAATGTTTGGAATCATGGAGCTCATCTTATCACAGTCGAACCATTTTTCCAATTTGAGAATTCGGCCGAAGTTCATAATTTTGTTTGTCTGATGTCACTGCTGTAAATGATAGAAAGTGAAAGTCAGTGGTTTTCAAAAGAACATTTAAGCTAATATATATTTTATATTTTTATTATAGCCAAAAGTAGATATGTTCTTAATTTCTCCCTTTCATTCAAATAACGAGTAGAATTTTAAGAAACTAGTGCTCTAAAAGTAATTGTCTATGCTAAAACTAGGCAAGGTGGTATACTCCAAATATTTTATCTCCCATAAAACCCAGTAGGCATGGCTTTGAACTATAAGTGCTGTAGTCCAAAACTCCTGGTAAATCATCAAGTTTGATACATATAGTGTAGTTTCTGAAACCTGAATTTGTGGATAGGTCCAAAGAGAAAATATATATTTGCTTGCAGGCACCAGTTTAAGTAGCATGTTTCATCCAGGGCTACTATTTCAAACATGGGGTACTATATGTGTATTACTTATTTTCACAGTTTGTCCTTTCCAGAATGCCAATGGAAACAAATTTAAGATAAGATAGATAGATGAGAGAGAGAGAGAGAGACAGAGTTAGTAGAGAAAACACATAGGGATTCAAATTTCTTCCAATAGAATGAAACATACAATATGCAGATATTAAAGAGATACAGCTTATCAGCATTATGAGATTAAAAATTGTATCAGTTTACTTGAATAAACACACTTTCATTAGAGAGAGAAGGGTTGCAGTGTTTAAAATGTTGGATCTGGACTGGAGTTAAAGTTAAAACCACTGTCAACTCCAGCTCGACTATCCAAATAAAGTCCAGGATTTCTTTCATTTCTGAAGATCTTACTGGTTTATTGAATACATGACATGGTACAGGCGAAGGAAAACTAACTCTAAAATCCCAAGATATCTAACCAAAGCAAATAACAATGACATTCCCAGCCAAGCCTCCCAGATGTCCATGTAGTTCATGTGAACACCTTCTCGTTGTTTGAGAGTTGCCATCCTCTGGAGAGAAGTTGCCATCCTCTGGAGAGAAGTATCTTTGTGAGCTGACCCTTCCTCTGTCTTCTGTTCTATTGCAGAACTTAAAATGTACTAGCACTCCTGGGAGATAAACCCAGGTAGGCTACAAAAATTATGAGAGTTAGTTTAATGTCAACCTCCAGCTTGAGTATCCAAATAAAGTCCAGGATTTCTTTCATTTCTGAAGATCTTACTGGTATAGGCGAAGGAAAACCAACTCTAAAATCCCAACCAAAGCATATTACAATGACATTCTCACCCAAACCTCCCAGATGTCCATGTAGTTCATGCAAACACCTTCTCGTTGTTTTGAGAATCTTTTGTTGTCTTCTTCCCCCCAGTTAGAATGTCCTCGAAAAGTTTCCATACATTTGTGTTTCAACAGACATCTGCAGAACTGGAGAGGTTTCGTTTTTCTAACTAACCCATTCGAAGCCTCATCTTCTCCCCCCCCCCCTTACACAAATAACAAGATGAAAACAATAAGGCATGTGGCTGCCAAGTTTTCACTCTTGACATGCTGCCCCCTTGAGGGAAGAAAGGACCTGGAAAAAATAATAAAATAAACACACATGAATTTACCACTGTTTCATAGACAAAGTCCCTTCTTTCACTGAGATATTTGGAATGGAATTTTCTTATTAGCCTATCTGTTCTAACATTTGTAGCTGCCATCCACTGTGCTTCAGCTAAGGGGTATCCTTTCCATTTTAGTCAATACTGAAGTTTCTCCCTGCTATATCTTCAATTTCATAATGCCTTTCCCTCGTAACTTGGAAGCCGAGGAAGTCTCAATCTGGAACCTTGAAAAGGCTTCAATAAGCTACAATGAAACACTGGATATATCCATTTAAATATGCTTGGTAACTGTAATTTTATGTAATGGGGTTTATAATCCCTATGATGGTAAAAGGATCTATATATTTTGGTCCTAGTTTTCTACTTGGTATTCTTAAATTCAGATATTTTGTGGATACATATATTTTATCTCCTATTTTAAACACTTTTTGGATGTCTCGTTTCTTATCTACCTTTTTTTTTTTTTACTTTTTTGTGCCTCCTCCAGAGCTTTGCGTCCCCCAGGTCAGGTGCTTTTTTCATAAATATTTTATTAATTTTCTATTTTTACAATCAAGTGCCTAATAGACAACGTGATGATTGAGTCCATTAGTGATTCCATGGTACATGTAAGCTTCTTCAAACTAAATCCAATATTACACCCTCCAGTACATCTTCTCTTCTTCTGGTAATAGACATTTTTCCACAGTAAGCAAATACAATTCTTACTGTTGTGAGTAAATATACAATTGCCTATCAACATTTGTTACATTTTTCTAATAGTGTCAATAATATCAGTTTAGAATATCTTTTCTAACCAAAGCATATCTTAATTGCATTTGCACTCAATATCCATTTATTCAGTCGATATCCTATTTTTGCTTTTTCCAATTTTAATTCCCCATCCATGTTCAAAAATCCCAATCATTTATAACTTCAGAGTAACCCAAAGCTTCCCTTATTCAAAGTTCTTAGCATATTCTTATTTCCCTTTTCATACCAAGATATGATATTCTGATTACAAATCCTATCTATCTAGTTATAATAATACTTCTATTTCTAGCACACTATTCTTAACCATATTCAAACATCCCCTCTAATAGGTCAAAGCGTCTGTTTCCTTCAGTCTTACGCTAGCTTGCTTTCTTTGCCAACTAACTTTCCAAGTCAGTACATTTGGATCATGAAATAATTCTTCCTCTATTTTTGTGTATATTATTTGAAACAAGAGAAATAATTTAATTAAAATATTTTTGGAAGAACTAGCCCATTGATATTCATTAAACAGCCTCCCTCCTTCTCCAGTTCCCCACAGTCTGTTAATGGCTTCAGCTTCCATTCCATCAGCTCTCCTTCCTTATCCTCCAGTATGTTCTGAAACCTTGGTTTGTAAAATGTCTTTTCCATTTCCAATATTATCGTCATGTCTTCTAAGTCTTCATTTATCTGAGTCTGGTCATTAGTTTCTTCCTTTAGATCCTCAATATTTGTGTCAGCATTCTCTAGTTTTCCTTCTATTTTCTGGGTTGCTGGTTCCTTCTCTGTAGTTATTTTCTGAGTTTGTAGATTTAAATTAAAAAACTGTTCTTTTATCTCCTTTGTGTTATCTTTAATCTCATCATGAATTAAAGCAATTGTTTCTTGTATTAATTTCAACATGAGAGAATTTCTTTCTGTGATTCATCAGTATTTTCTTGGTGATATGGCAAACTGAGGCTTCTGGAGATAGATGTTAAGGATGGGGTTTTTTTTACTATTTAGAGCTAAGTATGGAACATCCATTTTATTTTTTGTAAGTAGCCTTTATAAATTTATCCAATCAACTAGCTGCTCTTAAACTTCCCTGAGCAGTATAAGTAAAATTCAAATGAGAAAAATATCCTTTCTGTCCAGGGAGAAAAAAGAACCATTAAAGATTGTTTAACAATCAAGATTTATAATCCAAAGTGTTCCATCATATCAGGCAATAGTGTATGTTTTTTTCTACAGGAAAATAGTTCCACAATACAGTTCTGAAAGTCAGTATTTGTGTTCATAGTTTAGACAGGCCAATTTTAGAATAATATTATCGTCTCTGCTACACAGATAAGCAGCCCCAAGTCTGTTTCTTTTTCTCAGCTGTAATTCTCAAAAGTAAAAGCTTCAGGGCCAGCCAAAATCTTATTTAGCTCTGGGCTTCGAGCCAGGTTTCTTTTAGGCATAAATAAGTTGTAGTGCTATAATTCATTAGATGTCATCAACGCCGTTTTTCAGTTTTTAAATCCAAAACTTATATTGTAAATTTTTCAACTCTTTTTTTAAAAAAGGTCTTAAAAACACTTTTACTCCCCAAATTTCCAAGTCATATATATATATATATTAATTCCAAATTAGTCTTGTAGGTTTGTCCTTTTCCCCCAAGTAATTAATTCACCGCTTTCCTGAGGGAATGGGGTGGAAATTCTCTTTCCCTCCTCGGGGGGAGTGCTTTGGGCAGATTTTCAGGAAGAGGTCTTAAAGTCATAACGAGAGATTTAGGTCTCGCCCAGTTTCATCCACGTTGCTGTAAGATTGCTTGATAGTGCTTGTTGTCTTCCGTTGACAGCAGCTTCTGACTGACTACGTGAATGTAGCCAGTCTTTCCCCCGCCAGTTTGGAGGGCTTCCTCAGATCAAACAGGAAGACTGCTGCCCCCTCTCCGCGATCAATGAGGGTCCCCTTCTTGCTTGCCGCCTCTACGGGGCAACTTTCGACCCTTTCCAGGGTCTCCCAGCAAGGCGAAATCAAACACAAAAGACGGAGCCTTTCAGCTGCACCATTGGTACTTGGATGAAACCCAGCATTAAGTCCTTGAGACAATCCTTTTGATCGGATGAACTCTTTCCAAAATCTTGCAGTGAATTGTACTCCTCGCTCTGATATAATTTGATTAGGCATTTCATGCAGCCTATATATATGGTGCACAAACAACTTGGGTAATTTCCTAGCTGAGGGAAGCTTGGGACAAGCTACAAAGTCTGCTTGTTTTTAGAATAAATTAATAATTGTTCATATAACAGTATTTCCAACACTCTCTGGTATTTCTACTATGAAATTGCTATTTCTTCCCAGGGTCTTTGAGGGTCAGCTACTGATTGTAATAAGCCTGGGCTTTTCTCAGGTAACCGCTTCATTGATACATAAACCATGCAACTAAGTACATAATCTTTGATATCCTTTTTCATTTTTGGCCACCAAAATTGTCTTTTCACAAGATGAAGGGTTTTTATAATCCCAAAATGACTGGCAGATTTTTCATCATGGACCCAGCCTAACACCAAAATCCTTTAACTATCTGGAACCGACTTTGAAACGTTTCCATGCCAGACCTTTTTTCATCATAAATTCACTTTTATGGATTTGAAACCAACTATCTTGTTCCATACCCTCCTTAAATTTCTGTCTCAGTGGATCTAAAGTTAACCAGGGTGGGTTTCCCCAGCACTGAACCCCTTGCACTGGTGCAGCAAGCTGGCTAGAAGGGATTATAGAATTTATCACTTCTTTCTTGGTACTTTTGTATTGAGGCATTCATGAAAGAGCATCAGTAACATACCATTTTTGTTTGAATATGTAACAAAGACTAAAATTAAATCAATTAAAATATTAAGTCCATCTAATTTGTTTAGGAGACAGTTTCCTTAGAGTCTTCAAAGCCTCTTAAGTTTTTATGATCTGTCCACACTTCAAATGGAATTTTGCTTTCCTCTAGTCTAGAAATTGTCTCCACATTAAGAGAGCCCAGTGAACCGCAAAAGCTTCCTTTTCCCACACAGCCTATCTTCTTTCAATATACAATAACTTACAAGAGGTGTATGCATGCACATGGTTTTAATTCACCCTTCTCATTTGTTTGTAGCAAGGCTGCCCCCCACTATGACATCACTAGCATTTGCTTGTGTTACGAAAGGCTTTTCTGGATTCGGATGCCTTTGCAGGGGTTCCTCAGCAAAAAGTCTTTTTAGGTTTTCATATGCTACTTGACATTTAAGAGTCCAGCTTAATGGCTGACTGGGTTTTCCTTTTTCCATTTTTAATAAGTTGGTTATAAGCAAAGCAATCCACAAATGTGGGCATGAACCGTCTTCCAGGAAGCTTTGTAGCTGCCTTCGCATCCGGGAAGCTTCCCACTTCATTATAGCTTTTACTTTTCCTGAGTCCATTTCTATGCCTCCAGTGGAAACACAATATCCCAAATAATCTAAACTGGTTTGTGAAAATCACATTTTGATAATTTGGTATACAGTTGATTATCTAATAATTTTGTTAACAATGTTCTTACTAATTTTCAAATTTGCAGGTTGAATGAGCTCTTCTGAGCTCTTCCATTTTGGTGTCATAGCGTACATTTTTGGTTTAGGAAATTTGGCCCTGGAATTACTTCAATGGCACAGTCCAATAGCCAATGAGGGGGGAGAATATCCAATTCCTTTTCACTAAATACTTCCATTAAATTTCTGTATTCAGCAGACATTGTGTGCCCCAATGCCTTGGTTGCGTTTTCTCTCACTATCACTTTCTCTCACTATCACTTTCTTAACTATCACTTTCACTTTCTTAACCACAGGCACGCAGTGACTAGCCGACGCCTTGTGTGGCTTTTGTTGATTGACTGCTCTGTTCCTTAATTGTCTTTTTTTTTTTTATTCCAATCTAGAAGTGGATTCGTTTTCTTTAGCCAGGCTAAACCTAAAATCATCCTTTCAGTCATTCCAGGGGCTACAATAAAATAAATGATTGCAATATGCTTGCCCAACTTGACAGTAACTGATTCGGTGAGGTAATTTGCAGATTCTCCTCTGCTGCCTTCCTGAGACCATTCACCCAAGTAGTTCATGGTGCTGGTCAAAGAACCTCTGTCTTTCTTCCTCTTCCAACAGTTTGAGATTGCTCCACCATTCCATCATTCTGCTTCGGGCGAGCCCTCCCCCCAACAAGTTGATATCTCCTGTCTGGATTATAATTGCCATCCTCTGGAGAGAAGTATCTTTGTGAGCTGACCCTTCCTCAGTCTTCTGTTCTATTGCAGAACTTAAAATGTACTAGCACTCCTGGGAGATAAACCCAGGTAGGCTACAAAAATTATGAGAGTTAGTTTAATGTCAACCTCCAGCTTGAGTATCCAAATAAAGTCCAGGATTTCTTTCATTTCTGAAGATCTTACTGGTTTGTTGAAAACATGACATGGTATAGGCGAAGGAAAACCAACTCTAAAATCCCAACCAAAGCATATTACAATGACATTCTCACCCAAACCTCCCAGATGTCCATGTAGTTCATGCAAACACCTTCTCGTTGTTTTGAGAACCTTTTGTTGTCTTCTTCCCCCCAGTTAGAATGTCCTCGAAAAGTTTCCATACATCTGTGTTTCAACAAATGTCTGCAGAACTGGAGAGGTTTCATTTCTCTAACTAACCCATTTGAAGCCTCATCTCCCCCACCCCTACACAAATGACAAGATGAAAACAATAAGGCATGTGTATGCCAAGTTTTCTCTCTTGACAGCCCCTATTTGATTTCTATAGTTTGGCATGGGAGATAAAATTCAGGGAATCCAGAAAAAAAAAGTTGGATAAATAAAATTATACTTAATTTCACTGGCCATTTAATGGGTCAATTTTTCCCAACCACCTTGATGTCATCCTCAAAATACCTGTCTGGCACAGCATTGGCTATACTGCATACTGCATATAGATTCCAGGAGATGAATTTCAAAGCCTAAATAGCATCAAGTGGAAAAACGGTTGCATGTCAAGAGATTTTCTCCTTCCTTTCAAGCAAATTAATTAATATTTACCTTGGGAGCACAGAGTAAGTAGTTTCCATGCCAGCATGGATGTGGTCAGTCACATGACAGTGCAGTAGCCACGTCCCAGGATATTTTGGCCACATCTCAACAGTTTGAAATGTCCCAGGGAACAGGTCATACACATCTGCCCGGAAAGTTCTATTGTACTTTTGGAGAGGAAAAAAAAATAACCAATCATATATTTGTGTAGTTCTTCTAATACTAATTAATCCATTGGAAGAATGCAACAACATGAATAAAGAGCATCTTAACATTTTAAATATTTTAACATATAAGCACTAACTAACTTAAGAAAACTCAAACAAACATCTATGATTACAGACCTTCAATTACTACTTAAAGCCAATTAATGTTCGTAGAAAGTGGACCAAAGTTAAACCTGTTCTGTCCTTAGGGGAAAAATAATACTTCAGATATGGCCGTTGGATTGTTGGGAAAATAATAGACAATTTTTTTCATCCATTTGTCAAAAAGTTGCTTTCAACTGAATTAGTATACAGTGTACAGAGTATACAATTTCCAAATTTACAAGGATGTAAACCTATGTATGTTAGGATACTTGGTAGACACACACATCCTTATCAGGGAAATGACATAGAATATATTTGCTCCACTGCTAAAATCATGAAGGGAGGAAAGAGAAAGAAATGTAAAATTGAGGGATAAAGTCTGGGTTTCAGTTCGCAATCAGTTCCCTAGCTGGAAACTATAAAACAATAGCCTGCCAAAATGGGCAGACTTAGGTTAACTGAGCTAGTTATCTGACTTAAGAAAGTTTTATGTGTTCAGTTGTCCTACATACTGCTTTCTCTCTTAGATAAGTATGTACCTTCTTTTTAGTTCTTTCTTTAAAAATGATTATTTTTACCTTGTAATCGAAGCTATGGCCGTGGAAATGTGCAGTGTGCATATCAACTTCATTCCCCATTCCTAACAAGTACCAGTTTACTTTGTCTCCAACATGCATTGTAAGACCATGCAAGTTTCCAAACAGTCTTCCATTAATGGCTAAAGAGAGAAATATTTGTTATAAAAGTGCTGTTTATTTCCAGTTATGGAGCTACATATCAATCTAATAAATTTAGTACAAAGATCAAGCCTTATCAAAAGCTTATCAGAGATTATTGTCCAAGATATACAGCTGGTCCATTAATTCAAATTGAGCTCAAAGATCAAAGCAATCTAAGAGTCATTCTAATTACATTTGGACAATCTTCATGATGTGCATTGAACAACCAATGGTTTATCCTCCCTCAATTGCAGAGTTTTGTCTCTGATATCAATAGGTTGAGCTTAGTATAGTTGGCACTACAGTGTTTATGTCAGGGGTGGACAATTAATTTTCCCAGTGGGCCACATGAGAAACCAGAACTCTTGTGGAGGCTACTGCCTTCCTCAGGCTAAACAAGATCAAACAGATTTCTGTATGTTCTCTATCCCAATCTTACAAATACAGCAGCTTTCCACTGCTAATAGTGTACAGTATGTGTGCATGCATGCGTGCATGTTTCACAGAACACAAAAAAAACATTTCTGCCCATTTCTGCCTTACGCAGTGCCACTTTAACTGATGTGAGATAACTATTATTCCAAAATACTGGAATTCCAGATCCAAGCATACCATGCATTTTATTGCTTTCAATGAATTCCTCATCTTCCTTGTTTACATCTCCTGGATTGGCGGAATGCAATTTGATATTCTCATCTAAATACCACGATTCATTTTCATCAAACACCAGAAAAAGGAGAGCAAACTGCAGAATTTTGGGATGTGGAATTACAGGAAAAACTTCCTTGCGACAGACAACAAGTGTTCCTATTAATCCACTATGGAGGTCCTGAAATCAAAAATAAAAATAATCACTTAGTACTATTACTAGGACAATATGCCTAGATAGCCATATTGTCCTATCTAGCCAATATGCCTAGATAGCCACATGCTTTTAATTGATTTTATGGAATATATGCATGATTTAATGTGGATCCAATCTTTTATACTAACATTCATTTTAAATAGAAATGTGTTTTCTGCTAAAACTGTTTGTGGTACTTTTAAGTTGCCCATCCCCAAAAACTCAAGTAATATATATTAGAACATTTCCAAATGTAGATCTTAAAATAACATTTCTGCTGATGCCATCAGTGGCTGTTGACTTTTAGCATCCACATAAATAGATTTTCTTTTATTCCCCCAACCATGTTCTTCAGGTGTTCTAATGGTACACTATTGCCACGGTAATTGAGTCCATCCACCTTGCCATTGGTTATCCTCTTTCCTTCTATTTTTCCCAGCATAAAGGACATCTCAAGGGAGTTAGATATGATAATTTGAGCCTAGTCATTGTTCCTCAGATGAGCACTCTGAATTTATTTGTTTCTAAGATCGGTTACTATACCCGATATCATTATTTTGATCTCTATATTTAACGGTAATCCTATTTTTTCATTGTGTTCCTTGGCTCACATTATAAGAGCTTGCAGATCATCTGTGTTTTCAACTATCAAAATAGAGTCATCAGAAAAGAGTCTCCATCTCTCCTTTTAGAAAAAGTCTCCACTCCAGAATCAGTGAGATGTACAAGTCCAGTGCAGTTGCCTTTGTTAATCTTTCAGTTATTATAAAATTATAGAATGTTATATACTTAATATATCAAGCTACTTTAGAAATACTGTCTCCCAAAAACGAGAACAACTTTGACCATTGTCACTGTGAGTTTACCTTCACTCTATCCACAGTGGAATAATATGCCCAGGGAATACAGGTAGAATCTCCTTCCTCAGGACCAGATCTTGCTGGGATTTCCCAGATATACTCCTCGGTTGCACCTGAATGAAACATACATTGTAGATACGGATTTATTTTTGTAGACTGTTTTTCCCTTTATAATCAATGTTTTAAAAACAAGCAATGGAAGTGCTTTTTAGATAAATTTTGCAATCTTACACCAGTGGAGAAAAGACGTTTTGCTATACAAGCTAAATAAAAGAAGCAGGTGCTTTCTGTTTTGTTTTATTTTATTTTATTTTATTTTATTTTTTGAGTTTCTTCTCTCACACAAAACAGGATGGACTGGCTTCTGTTTCCCTTTGTCTTTCTGTGACATCCTTGTTTGTAATAACAAATTTTAAAGTACTTATTCAAAACTAATTTTCTTAAAACAAGAACAAAACCTCTGATTTAGTAATTTTAGGACAATAATATTTTAAAGGTGTACTATTTCCTGCAGTCCTATCTGCGATAAGGTCCCATTGAATTCATGTGGCAATGTCTCCTGAATAGATGGATGAAATTATATTGCAATATACACATGATACATCAAAAATAATATGAATACAGATACTATTTTCCCTTTCAAATAGCAACAATGATAAAAGAATCAGATCCATGCTTTTGAGTAGACATCAAGGAAAAGCTGCAGAGAATAGCATTAACATTTGGCTCATGCATACACAAATAGAATGAAAAAAACTATAATTTCCTTTCCATGGAAACTCAATACACTTCAAATCCAAGCTTTTATAAATCATTACAACTGATGACAAAATAGAATTGACAGAATTTTAGATTATGATATGATTCAGGCTTTCAACTGAATATACTACAAGTTCAATTATAACTAACCAAGGATTGAACTTGGTTAATTCTTTGATTACAGATCGTCAAACAACAAAGGCTACAACAAGACTTAATGAAAACATTCTGGAAGAAGACAATGCAAACAATTTTATACTGTCCAGAAAATAATATTCACAAAGTCACAAGGAGCCCGGGTCAATTTAAAAGTGTAACCTTTTCAATATCTACTTTTTTCTTTTTTTTATTATCAACTCAGGACTGACAAATGAATTACTGTACCTGGAAGTGTTTCTGTTACAAGTGGATACTTAGTTTTTACTCCTTGTGCATGGATAGAATAACGCCTAGAGGCCATGTTCTTGAAAACAATTGTAATTATATCTCCAACTTGTGTAAGAATCAGAGGACCTTTGAAAAAGTAAAAATAAGCATATAAAAGTAAAGTAGAAGGAAAGTATAAAGCTATAAAATTATTTAAGAAATCAGAATTTAACAGATTAAATGAAGGCAAGCTGACCTTTTCCTGGATCAAGAAAGCTTTAAATAGTAACCTTAAAGCTAACTGGATCAGGTACAGCATAACAATAAACTAAGATTTAATGTGGTTCCTCATAGTGCAAAACAAGGAAATTAGTTTGAAGCTCACATAATTCCAATCCTCTATTGATCTTCCTAGTTAAATTTAACCACAGTTAGAAATTGCATTCCAAAATATGTATTTATATGTATATAACCATAAGAATTAGGGTTACTTAAAACTACTATATGCAGTATTGAAATCAGCCATTGGAAATGACATTTGGACCCTTAACTTGATTTGATTACTGTAGTTAGTACATTTGGAATTTTGAAAGCATTATTTTGTGGGCATTAATGGAGAAGACATAAAATATCTGCCATAAACAATGACAAAAGAAATCTGAAGAGGCAAGAAGTCTTCAAGGTATAAAGGTAAATATCCATAGGCACCACCAATGGCCATAATTTAAATTAACTAGCAACTTGAAGTGCCTGGAATATAAGAAAGAACTGTACTTAGTTAAAACTAGGTAGTGCACCCAATTTCTTCATAATGTTATATTTGATTTATGGTTCAGCATTATATGTAAACTGAACCAACTGCCAGCCCTTTGGCTGGATGCATCATAGCGAAACTGCGCCCACCCCATTGCCGGCAATGGCAAAAAAGTCATGATACATCACGACACGTCATATGACGTTGCGAGTTTGACATCCCTGACTTTGATGAACTACACTCAGCTTCAAGTGAAGAGTCTCTACCTTGCTCGGTATGAAATTTAATTAAGATTTTTATGCACACTAGTATTAATTGGTTAGGCCATCTATGTGTTTGGAATTTCACAAAGCTCACAAGGGGAGATTTATTCATAATTATATTAGCACAAATAAGCACGTAGATACAAATAGAGAACTCTTTGCACACTGTTGTCATTCACTGTCTAGCAACGGAGTGGTTAGAATGTAGTATTGCAGGCAAACTCTGCCCACAGCCTGGAGTTTGAACCTGACAGGGCTCAAAGTTGACTCAGCCTTACATTCTTCTGAGTTAGTAAAATGAGGACCCAGATTGTTGGGGGCAATATGCTGACTCTGTAAACCACTTAGAAAGGGCTGTAAAGCACTGTGGAGTGGTATATAAGTCTAAGTGCTATTGTTATTGCTACTGCTGACTTTGAAAAATGATGACAATCTAATAGAATCAACCCAGGTAATATAGAAACAAATATATAAGTAAAAGGGTTCCATGTAGACATTGAAAACTTCTGGCTTGACTATTGGTTCAATCCTGAAATCACTACCTAAATCTGTTTCAGATATTCCCACAAATGGTTACAAAATATGTTACATGTAATGTAAAAATCCAGATTTTTACTGAAACTCTTGAAGCCAATACCTAGAATTCCTAAATGTTCTTTCTCTTCATTCCGTTCTTTAGGGATTTTAAATGTTTGGTCAGTATATTCCCGATAAACCACTTTCTTGTATTTTGACCCAATGAATTTATCTTCCTTGTTTAAAAATGGATTTCCTGGACTAAAAGAAAAATGAAGTTAACTTTCACATACCTACACAGAGTTGTATGCCCAACAAAATTACACGAATAAGGAATGTTACAAATGCTGCCATTGCACCACATAGACTCAACTCATTTCCTAACAAATTTAGATACATCATCAAAGAAAAAGTTTTCAAAGTTTTTATTTTTATTTTCATTAGTGCTGCCTTACCTTTCATCATGGAACTGGTGCCTCTCTTGTTCCCATGTCCTGTTAGGGGAATAGTCCCACTCAACTTCTTCAGCTGCAATGTAGAAAGTCTTCTGATGAGTGTATTGCTCATCTTTTGCTGATGAACCACATCTCTTTACTTCATACATTTGTCTCATACCACCTGTGTAGTGATCGGTTGTGAGGCAGGCCACTTCAAAAAGACCTGGAGAAAGAATAGGAAGCAACTAGTTGAAACAAGCAAATAAGAAAAAAAAAATCCCAGGCACATCCAATAGATGCAATATCTAACCTGCATTATAGCACCATTTTCAAAACAGTAGATCAGTCTTCACCATCTGGTATCTATGATAGCTGAAAATTTGGGGAATTGTGTCCCTTGTACCACCAGAAGGTGGCAGATTGGTGCAGTATCAAGGCAATGAAATATCATTTATGTGGTTCTAGGGCCCTTTGACTCACAACAAAACAGCTGTCTCTTCATATTTGGAAAAAACAACATCAGACTATTTCCTTGAAGTTTCTCAGGAAACCAATTCCAAATCAGCTTGGTGGGTGCTAGTGTGCATCACACTATTTCCTAAATTCCTCCTGCTACTTTAACAAGATAAAAGAGATTATTTTTGTAAAAAAAAATTAAATGTGATGCTGACTCTCCCCAAGTCACAAATCATAATTCATATTTCAAAAAGACACCACATATTCCTCAAATATAATGTTCTTTCTTTCAGCTATGTTGTGAACTCCATTAAGGATCTATCAGGTCTGTGGAAATGCAATATACATTTCTCAGAAAAAAATTCATGAAAATAAACTGTTCAATGTGATATACAATCTTGGATTATGGATTAGGAGTGCAAGAGGACAGGATCAGAGAATCAAATTTATGATTTGGAAATAGGACATTCCACATTCGGAACAATCCTAGAAAAAGGTGCATTTGGACCCACTGCAATAATATCTGGGAAGGATTTTTGTAAATAGTAAATGTGATTTTGTTCACCTTCTGAGTCAGGCTTCATAACAGCTGTGGCAGAAGTATGCGGGAAAAGATTAGCCGTATCCTTCCTAGTCCCTTTAGTTACAAAAGTATTTCCTGAAAAATATATTCCATGAATGTCAACCTCAGTCCCCAAGCTGATCAAATGCCAGGAAACTATCTGTCCAAGACACATCTCAATGCCTTTCTGATTTCCATACATATATCCATTTATAGCTGCAAAAGAAAAAGCATGCAATTTAATAACAAGATTATAGCATGTTATCCAATTAACAAAACAGACAGCAACATCTACATGATCCTTTATCACCAGGATCTCCAATAGAAAATAAAATGGCAGGTAGTTTCAGTCAGTATTTTTTTAATTTTTATTTTGGTCTTCTGGTATAAGTATGTTTGGGGATTGGTCATATCAACCATGGCAACCTTTCTGAGTGCCCATAACATACAGTCAAATGTTTAGATACATCTAATGACCCATAAAAGGTTGGGAGTATCCACTGTTTTGTTTTAGAAACATACAGAAGCCATCAAAAACAAATAAAATAATTTCCTAAATATATATATCTGGGACATGCATTGCTCAGGTTTATGTAACTTTATCCCATAATGAGCTGTTCTTTTTTTAGTGGGGGCTAAGCAACCATGTAACATCTACATATGAATTTGTTTGTTTGCTTATTTATTTATTTATTCTCAATTTCTATAGCCTGCCAACTCAACCAATTAACCCTGCTTTATTAGGTTTATTACACTAGGCTCCAAAACTCTACACAGTCAACAAAAAGAGATATAGCAAACCTTCATTCTTGCTGCTATTTAATAGTCCTTTTTTACAGCCTAGATATGACCATTTTACATATTTGTGTTCAATCCACAAAACCTTTCCCCTGTGTAAAGTATTGTGGAAGTGAATGAGATAAATCCCGCCCTTCGTCTGAGAAATAAAAATGTAATAACACCTAATGAACTACATGCAAAATCTCTGAGTTTCCTTGACAATGTCCAAAACATCAATTAAAGAGTAAGATAATAATGCTGTGATATTAACAGTGATTGGAAAGCTAGTCCCTAGAAGAGTTAAGCATTTCTTTCTTTCCTTTTTTTAAAAATAAAAAGTGATATCAAATAGGGTAAAAAGTTAACCATTCTGATCAAAATTCCAGCTATTAAATTCCATTTTCATTGCTCAAATCTTGTATTTCTTTTCGTTTCTTGAAAAATCAGCCTATACTGTCCTATGCCCACTGGTAGATTCATCCTCATAGAGCAATGTCACTATGTTGAGACTGAGGTTTTGACTAGGAGAGGTTCTAGTGACCAAATCTTAATTATGGCTTCTAATGCAAAGCACTCATTTTTGTAACGTTATTTTAAAATACCTTTTCAATGCAAACCATGACATGATCTATAGTACCTAGACAGTGAGATGATTTAATTAATTTCCTCTGTATTTTATATACATCTCCATTCATCAGACCTTCTACTCCTGCCATTTGTAAAACTAGGGAACTCTGTTGTATGAGCATTGCTCCCTCCTTTCATCTCAATGGCGAATAAAGTTAAAAACAACAGATAACTAATTTACTATATTCAACAATATGACAAAACACAAACTCTTACAGTGCATCTTATTGGACTCTTGAAAATCCTCATCTTCTTTATCAACCTCTTCAGGGTGTTCTATAAATTTATTAATATTGTCATCTAAATACCAGCTCTGATTTTCATCAAATACTGTTGCAAGAAGAAAAAATTCCTTGTCTACATTATCCTATGAGAAAGAGAAGATAGAAAAAGAAGAATATGCAAAAAAAACAATAAATGGGGTTATCTGTTATAACAAAATTATGTTTATTAAGCAATCAATAAGACATTTTGTATATAATTATAAATATTCAGAAGCTTCTTGGATGCTTAATAACCTCATGTGGTATAAGACAGTTGTAGGATGGGATTTGCTGTAGCTGATCTTAGTATCTTTAAAAATAATCAGCTAAGAATTATTTTAAAAGTCAGAAAATCTTCAATTGTATATTTCAAAAATAATATTTAAATGCTTAGGAGAAATTATTTCTTTAAAAAAGATTATAATATTCTTACAGTGATAAAATCAATCAGGATTTTCAAGATTTGAATGGGTTTTTCTAGCCAGGAAGAGACACAATAAGAAAATGAACAATTGTCTTATTCTGTTTTTAAATAAGGTATTCCATTCCTAATGAAAAGAGTCCTTTGCCCGCATGTTAGGAAATCAGGGATTGTCCAGCTTTATCCCTTTTGCAGATATTCTATTCAAGACACATTTTGGGGTCTTGATTAACTTATTATTGTTCTGAAATTTCTTCTAGAGACTAGACAGTTGGTTAATTATTTAAAACAATGCTGCCTTTGTTAACAACATGTCAATTAGAAATTTTGATGCACATATAAGCTACTTTTAAAGTATATAATTTCTAATCTAAAAAGTTTTAAATGCTTTAGAAAGCCAACAAAGGATTATTTCATTGAAATAGCACTACCTGGTTCTACTATTAGATCCTGATGTTTCCTATTTCCACTAGATGATATTAATGTCATTCCTGACTGCAAACCAATTACTTCGACTATTCAAACATTTAACTGATGATTAACTTCTACAAATGTATTCATTAGGCAAACTCAACAAGATGTTAAGGTCAATGTTACCAATGGAATTCAATTATGTGCATCAAACAGCAAAAGCTTCAAATAGTGCGATAAATAACATCAACATGGGATAATTTGCTGTCATCCCATGAAAGCTATCCTGAGATGTAAATACTGCAAACCCTACGCAACATTTTCCCCATTCTGCAGAAAAGGAATCATCCCATTGGGTGCTTGGTGCTCTTGTTTTTGCAGTCTAAAGAGGAATATAAACCAAGATTTTTATAAAAACAATATTTGGGGGGCACTAGCTGGATATGTTATGTGAGATGCCTGCCTGTTCCACTCTGAAGTTGTCCAACAAATTGCCCTATGTTAGCCAGATGAAGCAGGGCAGAAGATGGAAGTCACAGTGATGAACAGGTGTATCAATATATACACTTTTTAAATGGTTGTAAGCTGCTTGGTGATGAACATTAGTTTATTAGTTTCTTTAACATTAAGAAAGCATACATAATTTATAATATTAATATATACAGTAAATATGTCCTCTAAAATGCTCCTCTTTTATCAGTGCCCTTTTATTAGCATACTTCTGGAAGGGGAGGACGATCATTGGAATAGACTAGTGATTTTAGGGGTTTTTTTTACCGGTTTCCATGGAGCAGGCATTATGCCTTTTCTGCACACCAAGAGTGGGCCCACCAGGCCGGAATTGGTATCCTTGATTGGATCTGAAGCTGAATAATACAGCAGGGTTAGACAATCTGGATCATCTGGCGTAGGGCCCACAGTTTCTGGCACTTCCCATTTATAGATGAATTTCTCTCCAGGTTTCACATGTGAACCTGGACTTGGAGTACCTGCAATATATTCAAAATTGAAATGGTAAGAAATCAACAGTCCTCCCCCAATTGAAATAGGAATGGAATGGAATGGAATGGAATGGAATAGAATAGAATAGAATAGAATAGAATAGAATAGAATCTGGAAGGGACCTTGGAGGTCTTCTAGTCCAGCCAGCTGCTCAAGCAGGAGAACCTATACATTTGGTTGATTTCTTTAATTAATATTACACTTAGATAATTATATTAACATAAATGCATTTACCTCCAGACAGAGTGTGGTAGAAAGAGCCCTCATTGCTTTTGGTATAACTCAGGCCATGTGGTTGAATGCTGAAGGGGCGGCTTGCATTGTTGAAGAAGACTACTTCAATATAGTCGCCAACTTCTGCTCTCAAGATCGGTCCTAGTTAAAAGAGAGATAATCAATAGCACTTAGACTTATATATCACTTCACAGTGCTTTATAGCCCTCTCTAAGCAATTTACAGACTCAGCATATTGCCCCCAACAATCTGGGTCCTCATTTTACTGACCTTGGAGGGATAGAAGGCTGAGTCAACCTTGAGCCAGTGAGAATCGAACTCCTGGAGTCAGCAGTGAATTAGCCTGCTATACTGCATTCTAACCACTGTGCCATCATAGCTTAACCTAATCAACCTTCATCCTTGTTTGTGACTAGTCCTCACTGATCTCAAAAAGCTAAACAGGGTTGGATCCGTATAATAGTTCAGTAGAAGAGCCCTGAGAAATCCTCAGGTGGTAGCCGAAATTGAAGTTTAAAAAAAAACATTCTTTTTTTAGTATATGTGCTGCTGAAGCGAGCACAAAAAAAAAACATTCTTGAAAAAGATAATGCAAAACACTTTGAGATTGTTGTCACAAAAATTACATGGCCACATCTGTAGCTTCACCAGAAAATTAGTTGAACCCCAAAAAGACAATATAGCTATCCACCCTTTGAGTTAACTACCTAACTAGCTGCTTCCTCCTTTTTTTTTAATGTTAATTTTAGGTGAAAATGTTAAGTATATGTTCCATTTTCTACTTGTGCTTTAAAAATCCAGCATACTGGCAATCATGCAATATAACCTATACAAATTTTGCTGAGTCTTACTTGTTATTATGATATTTGTTCTATAATGATATAATTTGTACTATATTAATAGGTCTTATTATCATAGTATTTGTGCAGGCCCCCTTGCATCCTTGATCATTTTCAGAAGATAAACTTCCCAGATTTCGGACACATACATATTGTCACAATTCATAGTAGTGTTATATAGTTCATGTAAATTGCAAATTGCAAAATGATCAGATAGACTTACCCAAAAGTCCAAGATGCTTTTCATTATGAGACCGGAAAGAACGTCTAATAAAGTCGACACTGGTATATTGAAAAAAACGGGCTTTTTTATAAGTCCCACCAATTCTATTTTTGCCTTTTTCAAAAAATGTCTTGGAATCCCTGTAACAAAACAAAACACATCAACATTTGCATTTGTATAGCAGCAGGAAGAAAGGTATTTCATATGTTAGGAAATAGATAATTTGGATTATCCTTTATTAGTTTTTTTCTCAGGATTTTGAAAGGAATGTTAATATTCAAACTAACAAAAATGTACAGATACAATTAACATAACAACATGGAAAGGACTAATATAACCATAAACTGATATGCATAGCAACAGAAAATACAAAAAATTATGTCATAAATAGATTAACTTTTACCATCTCTTTCTTTTTCTTTTTCCCTTTCTCAAAAACAAAAAATAGAAACTAATCAGCTTTCTCCTTCTGTGTTGTACATAATAAATCTTTAGCTATGCCCTGTTTATCAAACACCCACACTTTGAAATTTTACTACATTCCAAATACTAGAGATACAGCCAAGAAAAACATAGCGTCTTTAAAATGTAGCCAGAGAAATGTTAACAGTGCTATTCATATCACTCTAAAATAGGACAAGACCAAACTATGTGAATTAATTTTCAATTCTTAAGTTGGATCTCCAACAGGAAACTCATAGTAACCAATATTTACTGAAGATTTCTGAGGCATCTAGTCTATATGAGACACTGTTGTTATTATTCTTGTATTAACTTCATTTTAAGCTCTGGACATTGTTTTGTGCATCCTTTCATTCATGAATTATAACAGGACATCACATTCATTATTCTAAAAGTTATCTAAATAATTTAAAATTACATCATCTATTTCCTTCAATTTCCTATAGAGAAGGACACTGGCTTAAAAGTCACAAAGACTTCCTCCAAAATCTCCTATTACAACATAATGTCAGTTCAGATACAAAATTCCCTCTGCTATCTAGTATACCAGGAGCTAATACCAGGACTTTTGCACCGAAGAAAAAATGTGTACTAGCTTGGACCTCTTCATATCCACTTCTATAACCAGATGTTAGTAAATGCCAGCAATACATTTTATATGAAATGGTTTGGCTGCCTACAAAAAATAATCACTTACTCATCTAGATCAAGGGATTCTCTTGTGAATTCATTTGTTCCAGATGGGCCATAGTTCCATTCCTCTTCCTCTGCAGCAATATAATAGAATCTTGTGGTAATGACGGTAGGGGTTTGGTTCATAAGAGATGGAGAATGGTGTTCACAGTTTTTCACCTTAAAAATGGCCTGCATGCCACCTGAAGAAAAGGAAGACAAAGATCATTGATCATGTAAGCTCTCTAGGATTAAGAAGTTCATAGACTAAGAAATTTAAATTTTCCCTTGTCCCATGGCAACAAGGAACTCAGAAACCAAACAGATATAAGACAGGAATAATTTTCACTGTGTAATATCTAGACAATGAAAGCCTTAGACCAGTGTTTCTCAACCTTGACAATTTTAAGGCATGTGGACTTCAACTACCAGAATTCCACAGCCAGCATTGCTGGCTGTGGAATTCTGGGAGTTGAAGTCCACATGCCTTAAAATTGTCAAGGTTGAGAAACACTGCCTTAGACAGGAACATCTCAGATAGGAAATAGTTCACTAACAAAAGGTTCTTTGATTGAAGCCATCCATCCATAGAAGGATTAAGAAGAGAATGTTGCAACACAACTTTATGTCTTATGTATTTACATGTCGTACATGATAAAAATATGAATGGGAAGAATTTGCACTGTGATAACATGGCATATATTTCATCATTGTGATATTATTGTAGTTAGAAAATGACTTCTAGGATTTTGAATTATTCATTTATACTGAAGAAAACCAGTACAGATATTATCTCTGTGCCTATCTGTTTGTTTGTCTATTATTTCTCTATATGTCTAAGTCTCTGGATTCTTCAGATCAGAACAGAAAAAAAATTGTTATCTTATTCTTTCAAGACATGTAACTCAACTGTTAGTATCCATAGTAACTCCTGAACAACTTTACAGTTTTACAACTTTACAGTTTTTACACTCAGTTGATAACAATGTTTATAATTTCCATGATCCTTTCATAGGTCCCAATCTATTTATCAATAATTCAATCAAAGGTTGTATTTTTATGTATGATTAAGCCATTGCTAAATATAATTGGAGTTATCTCCAGAAATGCTTGATTTGATTGTAAGAAGACCATTTTCTTTTTAACTTTTTATTTTACTTTGTATGTGAAAAAAGATGGATCAAGATTTAAATTGAATGAAGTCTCATTAAGCCAAAATATGAGAACCAGTTTGGGGTAGTGGTTAATGTACCAGCCTAAAAATGTGGAAATTGTGAGTTTAGGCACAATGTCAGCTGGGTGACTTTTGGCCAATCATTGTCTCTCAGCTCTAGGAAGAAAGCAATGGCAAACTGCTGGAAAAAAAACTTGTAGAGACTGGGGCCAAACAGTTGCCAGGGTCAATACTGGCTTAAAGACACACACACACACCACCTTCACCACCACCACCACAATATAAGTTGCTGGGTTTTAATGTAGTAATTCATTAAGCCACATTTCTTTGCAAGTTATAGTTTAATATGTTTTGTGAATTTAACTATTTGTGTGGAAGTTAAGTCACAGCAACTGGATTTATTTTTTTTATTGGTTTGAGATTTTTTGCTGCCAATCCAAGTAGCTTCTTCTCCTAAACTTTTCAGGGGTATTCCCACACCAACCTCAGGGTTCCCCCCCCCCCAAAAAATGCATAGTCCTAAGGATATTCCTAAGAATTTTATAAGTTGGCACATTCCAGTGACTCTCTGCCTACTCAGATTTCCCTAATCAACGTGTTCGGACTTAAGAAGCTGCTTGGATGGTCAGCAAAATGTTTCAAACCAACAAGAAAGTAAATCCAGTTGCTATGACTCAACTGCCAGACAATTCTACCTGAATGACTGAGAATCTTCATCAACTAACTAGTTGTGATTTGTTAATTAATTAAATCATCTGTAGCATGATGTGGAAACCCATTATATACTAAAATTTCACTTTTCCAATTTGAAAGACCAGGAGATGAGGGGGAGGGAGAAGAAACACTACAGGAATAATCCAGATAAATGTGCTCAGCTCTTGTACCAGTGAGATCACAGAATTCTGAAGCTGCTTTCAAATTAGCTCAAAGCCCTGTGGAAGTCTTCATTAGGAAAACAGAAAGCAGCCATTTATTTCATACCTTCTATATGATCATTGACTTGGCAGCTAAGCAACCAATCACCATCATTCTTGGGCACCATAAGAGCATCCACAAAGGTAGCTGGGAAGAGGCTGATTGTGTCGACACGATGCTTCCTTTCTGTCAAGGTTTGCCCATGAAAATAAACGGAGTGGATATCAGCTTCATTACCAATGCCAAAAAGATGCCATTTCACTTTCTCTCCTGCACACATTGTGACATTGGGAAGATACCCATACATATATCCATTGATTGCTTTAAAAGAGAGAGAGTAAGAAAAATATCACTGATACTGGCTCTAACAAACCTTTAATATCAATCAAGGTTGATGAAATTAAACAAAGTGTTCCTGAAGTCTTCCACTGCGTAGAAATGTTGATTAAATTGGTTTTATCAATGGTGTTAATGATATGTACATCTTGCATTTATATTTTATAACTTACATGAGTGACATTTCAACAGTCTCCCATTTATTAACCAACTAGAGCTAAATCTGCTTAGCTTTAAGAGTTGCCATAAAAGAAATATCTGCAGAAACGAAGAGCTGTTTATATGTTTCAGTGGAGACATTGTGCAAAAATTTGTGGAACTATGCAAAATTATTCATTATCGCAAAAATAAGGCTCCATGTTCATGAATCAGATGGTTTTGTGGAAAAACTGCAGAAATCTGGCTAAGTTTCTCTTAACCAGGCAATGTGAATATTCATGCAAACAAAGTTCTTAAAAGAACAAAACTTATTCTGGAAGATGCTCTTACAGTGCATTTTGTTGCTTTCTTGGAAGTCCTCATTCTCTTTGTCAACTTTGTCAGGTTCAGAGCAGTATTTCTTAGTATTCTCATCTAAGTACCAGCTAAAGTTTTCATCCATCACAGAGAACAGCAAGACAAACTCACGGTCAACATCTTTATCTTTTCCATTCTGCAGAGTGCCTTAAGAGAAAATATCATTTTAAGACAATTTCCCAATGAAAATGATTATTTCAATTGCTTTCTTTAACTTGATACCATCTGCACATCTGGACAATAGTACCTAGAATCCCCCAACTGCATAATCACTGATGGTTGTACTCCTAACAAATCTAGAGGGCACAAGGTAACAAAAAGCTGCATTAACACTATGACCATCATCATACTAGATGAGGTAGGGATATGTGGAAAGACTAATGGTTGCCATTTATAAAACTCCAACTTTTTGAATTCTATTTCTTGGTAATGAGTGAGTAGAATATGGAAAGTTAATGTAGCCCAAAGAATTCCTGAATTCATATACCTTTAATCATTACAAACAATGAAAAATGAAAAAATGTAGTTATTCTTTACAGCTTATGAGTTTCACAGAAATTCCATTTGAAATTTCAAAGACATTTTGAGCAGCACACTTGTAGTTGAATGGAATATACCTTGTACCTCATTTGCTACAATTAAACTATCCAATAGGTCTCTACCACCAGTTAGCCAGAGATAATTTGAGCTTCTCTTCATTAGCAGTGTTCAAACAGAGGCTAGCCAGCCCCCTCTCTGGGATATTGAATTTGGATTCTTGCACCAAGCAAGAGAATGGATGCATTATCCAAAACTCCCAACTCTGTCTCAAAGGTCCTCTTTTTTTTCAAAAGGCAACCTACCCTTCCACCCCCTAGCTTCACAACTAATGAAGCTTCTTGGATGAGAAGCAAAACATCTTCTTCTTCCTCAAACCCCCACCCCCCAAAAAAACCAGTCCAGTTGCCTTTTGACAAAAGGCGCCTTTGACATAACTATGAACTGGATGACTGAAAATCTTCATAAACTTTGCATCTTTATTGTCATATTTTTACCTTTTCTGCAAGTGATTAAAGCTCCAATAAGTCCAGAGGCGACATCCTTTGGGGCATCTATATGAGAGTGATAGATCCTTGTCAAGCAGTTACTGTCTCCTTCTGCTGGACCATGATCTTCAGTAACATCCCACTTATAAACATACTGCTCTCCTGGCTGCACAGCATCATCTTTCTTTTGTAAATGGTTGGTATTATCAGGATAGAAAGCTCCTAGGAAACATACAAAATTATTCATGTTATATAGTTATTTCATTTTTGTATTGTTTCTTAATTTGTCCTGCAGTGATTGTGATTTTAAATAATACCTGTGACTTCTCAGAAACAATTATCATGTATTTGCATGTACATCAAATATATGCATTCATATACCTATATATGAATGTCTGTAGGTATAGAAAATATAAAAAGACTTATTGAAATCAGGTAAAAGTATTCAGTATGATTTTCCTTTCTTTCAAAGTTGGTCCTTAATGGAAATAAAAAAGCAAAAATTACCTATAATCAATTATACATTATTTATGTATACTTTCAATGTACAAGATTCACATGGGACCATGGAAGTAGGTGCATGTCTGACTTATTTATAAATACATATTAGAATGGGTTGACACATTCCTCTCATAGATTATATGTGCACAACAGAACATTAGCAATATTAAAATACACTAAACAAAACAGTGTTTTGGATTACACTGAAAGCTCCATACTTATACAGTTATAAACAGAGAACTTTGAAGTCAAACCCCAGGACTGAACAGGAGCTGGCAATCTGTGTTATGTACTCCATTTTATGCCTTCAGTTGAACATCCAACGGTGTCATATGAATCCAACTGATGTAAATGTTGGATTGATATGTGCAGGTCTGCAGAATCATGTGGTTATAAATAAAAGCATTCCTCACAAGATACAAAACAATTTTCATATTTTTTTGTCCAAAAGGAATTCTGAATTCACTCAACTGAAGCCTTGTTAAAAGAGTACATAAATCTTACCTTCATTTTCTTTTGTGTATTTGACACCATGAGGATGTAGAGAGTAGGCTCTTGTAGCAAAATTTTTTAAGTGAACCATAAAAGAGTCCCCAACTTCTGCTTTCATAATCGGCCCCAGGAAGCCCAACGATGGTGGTTTTTCCACAACATGACTATATGAGTTATCTGTGTACTGCATGTACACAGCTTTTTTATATATGCTTCCTATGCGATCTGGGCCTTGCTGTAGAAAGACACTAGCTTCCCTGAAACAAAAACATTATATCAATTATATCAATACAAGACTTTCAAAATAATGTATTATTTACAATACCATTTGTTTAATGATGATTCAAAGTTATAACCGCCCTGAAAAAGAGAGACTTACACGGGTCCTCACACTTATCATCTTTGCAGCATCCCCACAGTGATGTGATAAAAATCCGGGCAGTTGGCAATCAGTATGTGTTTCCATTAGCTGTAGTGTCCCAGAGTCATGGGATGGCCATTTGCAATCTTCCCAGTTGTCTTCCAACAAGCAAAGTCAATGGTGGAAGCTGGATTTGCTTAACAGTTGCATGATTCATGTAACAACTGCAGTGATTTGCTTAACATCCATGCAGTGGTGGGATTCAAATATGTGAACAACCGGTTCTTTGTGTGGCTGCCACTTTCAGAAGTCCATTCTGGGCCTGGGAAACAAAAAATTAGTTACCGGTTCTGCCGAAGTGGTGCGAACCGGTTGAATCCCACCACTGCAACCATGGCAAAAAAAGGTTGTAAAAATCAAATGCGACTCACTCTTCACTGTTCCGTAACAAGGTGATCATAATTGTACAACTACATTTGCTTCTTTTGACAGATTCATACCTCACAACAGACCCTGTGACTTCATGCCAACATTTGCATGTCTTAAGTGTCTCCATCCAAAATATTTAAAGAAGGAATTATAGTTCTCTCCATATATAAGAACAAGATTATCTCTATTACATGATAATATTTACTCTGGGATATCATATCTAGTCTGCTAAAATCTGAGTCACTCTGTTAGCCTTTTGCAAGGTATTGGAGACCTCACTGTTTCCTTGGGCATTCAGGTCAGGTGAATAGATGAGCTCTGTTACTATTGATGTGTTTTTTGTTAAATGGGTTTTTTAAAAAAATCTTGGAAGGCCGAAGTTTAATGGGGCAAGCTTTCCATGTTTTAATATTTGTAACTTACGCAGAGATACTTGTGTGAGACAGGCAGTTATATCAAATAAATAAATAAGCAACACAAGAAATAGTGGTCATCCAGATTTTTTTCAGCACAGATGATAGCCACATACAGTGATTACCTGAACTAAAATAACTTTTTAGGGTTTTTTTTCCCCAAGCACAGTTCTCACAGAATTCTCTTTGGTAAAGTTTATTAAGAAAAATAGGAGTGCAAGTATATTAGCACATCAGCTATTTTCACATTAGAATGGATATATTTTAAGGTAACAGTTTTCTGATTCTCTGCTTCATAGTCTTCCTATGAACCTACAAGGAATCTATCTATTCACTGACAAGGAAGTCTGCTTGCAGTTGTTTAAACAATGGTCTGGAGACCAACTCTTAGGCTAAGTTACTACAATGGAGTCATTTAATGAACTATTTGACAAAATAGGTGTTTGTTATATTTTAATTTCTTGATAAATCGAACTGTACAATATGTGCACCAAATGTATACCATTTCTGAGGTAAATGGACACAAACAATGTTATTGCATGTGGATTGTCTAGAGTACTTTGGATAAAGATTTTGTTACTTTGGATTGATGCCCGTACTCAGGTTTTGTCATATCTGAAATATGGTGTCTGTTAAACTGAAGATTTAATATATATTATTTACTACAATAACAATGACCAGTTAATTGCTTTCTGATGCTGGCTTGCTCTTTCTTTTATAGTTATGTTTTACTGGTGAAACAGTTGTCTACATCTCTGCTGTTAATAATGGGGGAGAGAAGAGAATGGTAAATGAGGAAAAGGAAGAAGAAATAAGATATTATCCTATCGCAAGTAGCATACAAGAGCTTGCTTCTGGGAAATAGTAACAGAAATACCATATTGCAATGTAATTGTTATTTGCCTTTTGATCATATTATGCATACTTGTGCAAATTGGAAATAAATGGGCAGCATTAATTGTTTAAATTCTTTTTGAGAACAGAATACGTGGATTCTGGCTATTTAACAGCAAAAGCTTAGCAGCCAATTTTAACTAGCTTAACTGTATAGTCCGAAGAATAAAAATTTACAGGTCAGTGCTGGATCAAAGTTTGTGTCATAGCTTTTGTTCATGCCTGACTTGACTATGTATTTGGGAATTCTGATTTTTCATTAAAAATTTGACTTGATCCTTTGTCTTGTCTTTTTCTTGCCTATAACTTGCATTATTGTACTTAGACATTGGTGTGTTTTTTAACTGCATTGAACCCTCGTTTTAGAAGTTATCTAGCCACTCAAAAAGCAGAACAAGGCAGAGATGGGAGTGCCCGAATTGACAGAACAACGAACATTGTACTATTTTGTCACCTTGATCACTAGATTTACCTTTCAGAGTCATCTTGTTTCCTATAAGGTCTCCCCAGGCTAACTTCTTAACTCTATCAGTCACTTTTGCCTCTGTTCAAAAATTCCACACATCACAGCATTTACTTTTTATTTCATTTCACTGTTTGATTTCCAGCAATCTTGGGAATGTCTCGCAATTTGATTTTCTCAGTTAACCAATGAGTTGCTTCAAAGCCTCAACCGATACAGAGGACTGTACAGTTTTAAAAGCAAACCAATATTGCCTTGTAAAAACTATTAACAATCTTGTTTTTCAGGAAGCTTTGTGAGACGCTAACTAGATTAGAGATGCATGAATGGACTTGCTAGAACTGTACAGATTTCCTGTTGACATGGGCATTATGTCCTTTTTCTTATTCGTCTTTGCAAAGATAATTTATTTATTATTTATATTTCTACCCCGCCCTTCTCCCTGCGGACTC